TTAATTATGCTCTATGGTTTTTTCGATTTTTACTTTTTTGTTTACTTAATTTTAGTGATGTACGGGAAAGAGTTTTTTGATAAGTTAGTTAGTTTTTTTGTTGTGTGCATATTATTAATCTTATATTTGTATTTGTTATAGATACATATAATATATAATAATTATTATTATTTATTATTAATGATACTTGGCGAACATTTCCTGATTTCAATCTTGTAAAAATTCTTTTATCAAAAATTAAAAAAACATTTGTTAATTCACCTGCACGCAAAGGTCATTACCTAAATCATCTTCGAATGCATGGTGTTGAAAATCCATGTAAAATTCTATTGCCAAATAAGACACATTGGAATTCATAGTTTAAAATGGTATTTTATGCAAAGGATAATATTGAATATCTGTTTTCTTTTTACTTAAAAGAAGATACGAGTAATGAGTTGATTGCTAAAATAAATAAAATCGACAAAAAAAAGCATGGTTATTATCTATATTAACTTTATAACATTTTATGCTCAAGAATTTGTTTACGACTTAGATTTTTTTCTGCATATAATAAATATACAGTGCATATTCCACAACATCCTGCTCGCTCTTTATTTCAGGCTTGTCACATTTTAACCCCTTATATATGAAAATAGAAAATCAATTAGGGGATATTTCTCATAGGGACATTTGTAAATATTCAGCTATTATTGAACTTAATAATCCTTCATATGAACTTTTACGGGAATAGACAATTTATTGTGGATTGGTAAATGAGATAATTGACGAAATCAATCTTCACAGTTATTGGATAGGAATGCAATCAATTTTACCAATTTTATCAGAGATTGCACAAGATTATATTTGGCTTCCAGTTTCTAGCTGTAATGTAGAACGCAGCTTTTCCATGTACAATAATCTTTTAAATAATGATCGTCAAAGTCTTTCGCTTGATTCTTTAAAACAATTAAGCATGTTATATTTCAATGGCAATTAGTTTTTTTTTTTGTTGTTAAGAATGATTTTAAGAAATAAAATACATTTGAACATTTTATTTTTAACCGCATTAAATCACAGAATCAATACTAAATTACCACAGAATTACGCAAAAATCAACTTTATTATCACAGAATTTCGCAGAATGCATAAAAAAAACAACACATGACATCACAGAATTTTTCCTAACCGAAAACAGAATTTGGTCTTAACCAAAACAGTAAATCATCGGCCCTGATCTGGGGGTGATGTTAACCGAAGAATCAACTTCGAACGGCCTAAGTGTCAATTGGACAATTAAAATCAAAATTGCAAAGACTTTTGCAGCTTGCATTTTTTTTAAATCAAAAAAAGGTTGTTTTTTTTAATAGTATACTGTTTTTTTTTTTAATTTAAAAAAAAAAAAAAGAAGAGAAAAACGTCTTTATTATTTTGTATGAAATGGATAACGACGATTCCCAGAGGAACGCCGGGGCTATTTATACATTTTATTAAATAACAAGTAAAAGTGCGTACATTTATATAAATATGCATTTTCAAAACCATTATCGACTCTTCTTCACTCAGACACAAACAATAAGTTTATTTTTTAAAACCATAAACAATAATGATAATAATAATCTGTATATAAAAAAATGTACAATAAATTTTTAATTCAAGAAAAAAAAATATTTGAGCATGTTAAATTCATCAACTGAAATATCGATATCACATGGATATACAAATTTTTATAAGTGGCTTTTCTAATGCTACGAAAGTATAGTTTACAGCCATCTTCGATTGGGATGTTTAATATTGATCCAATTTAAAGTTAGGCGAAATCTCTTTTGCGTGATGAAAGACGAAACCTTTGGTGTAATCACGAAACTCCTCTAAAAAACGAAACTCTATTAGAAATATGAAACTTCAAAGCAATAATGTAAAAGCAACTCAAACTATCCAAGTCAATTTATTAACCAAATTAATGTTTGAATATTGCATGTATACGTATTTGCTGAGTAAATCATAAGAAATTGCAAATTTGAAGAGCTATACTGCAAAATTTTATTAAAACAACTACTTTTGTGTCTTAAGTAAAAAATAACTCAGATCTTATTCTAAATTAGTTTATGCAAAAAAATTAATTTTAAAAATTTGTCAATTTCCCCCTTTTTGCAGCACCTGGCTCATACGTATCTTGTATATTAAATGCTATAATGACCGTTATATGCAGCTCATATATGAGTCTAGTTAAATGAAAGCCAGATGTTAGACTTTCAAGTTTATTATTTACCAGATTTTATCTTCAAAAATCTAATAAGCTTTGTAAACAAAGCGGTTTCCTGGTAATATGCCACTAACGTTAAATGTATTATTTATAAAATAACACATAAAACATCTATTCAAAGTAAATGATTACGTAACTAAAAAAATTATTGAACATATACTTTAAAGGCTTAGCTAATAAATAATAAGCTTAAAGCCCGAAGTCTGTTTAATTTTAACAACTCTCATATGGGTGAGTACACAGCAAAACCATGGTTAGAGTATATAGATTATATATACTCTAAGCATGGTTTTGCTGTGTACTCACCCATATGTGTGCTGCCAAGAAAAAAACCAACCTACCTAGCATCGCCCAAAAATCAGTTCCTATCAGAATAATTAAAATTAAATAGCAGTGCTCCAATAGGTTCATATACCAATAATTTATATATACAGTTAAAGATTAATATAACGAAGCCTACTGTTGGTCAAATATCTTCAACATTTGGACGTCAGAAGAATGTTCGAACAAATATTTGCTATGTAAAAATTCGTTATCTTTAGTTTTAACGTATATACAAAACAGAAAATAAATCTCGATATTTTTTATTTTCATTTAATTTTTATTATAACGTATATACAAACAGAAAATAAATCTCGATATTTTTTATTTTGATTTAATTTTTATTACACATATTTTTTTTATAAACAATGTTAAAAAGATGTTTTCTTAAACGTATATAATTTATTGATTAGACATGTTAAAGCCTGAATTAAATTATTGCGTTTTCTTTTTATTTCTAATCTTTGCATAATTTTATTTACATAATTGTTTGCATGTTCTTGAAGTTTTTTTTGCATTAATCTACGGATTGTTTTAAGATGCCAGAGATTAATTTCATTGCAAGAATCAATGAGAATTCATAAACATATACAAAATTTTAGATATTGCTATTAGAAAGTGTCTGAGTTATGTCTATTTCTATTTCATGTCCTTATCAACGTCTTTGCATTTTCAAATAATTCCAAGTTCACCATTCTTTTGATTGAACCGAAGTTTTTTTCAAACGCATTTAGTCTTTTTTTTTTTTTTTATACTGAAGATTTGATTATTTTTCAATAAATTTTACCCCTAAAGAAGGTAATATGATATATACAATTACCAATTTAAAGTGAAACCCATAATTATTTTCTAAATCTTCATTAATACAACAGAGTACTGTATTATCTATATTAATAAGAGCTTCTTAAATCATAGTTGTAATGCTTCTACACTATCTATAGGCTTCACTTTTCGGTTTTTACGTTTCAAACATTTGTTCTACCTTGAAAAGTCTCTAATTTTTTTAAATATTGACACAATTGCAAATAAAAAAAAATCCATAGCGACAATATTTACCAATTTTTACCAATTTTTTTTGTACAAAAAGAAGGGTATAAGATTCATTATGAGTATTACAAAATTTGATTGTCAAAATATCGAAATTATAATTTTGAGTTTTAAAGCAGGAATTTATTTTGGGCGATGCTCGATTCGTGAGAGAAAAACCTGTCATCGTGTTTTCGATTATATTTTGTGTTTAGCCCCCCAAGTGCCGTCGACAAACCAAGCATAACCCTCATAGAAAGACTTTTATGTGATTTTGTTTAAATCAATTTAATTTTATATTATTTATACAGTTTAAAATACTTTTTAAAAAAATAAAACCACAAAGAATAAATAAAAAAAAAAGTATATAGAAAGATTTATTAGGGTCATAGGACTCCACTATTAAAATAATCAAAATCCTTTTTGTTTTAAAGAAGTTAGCATTAGTGTTGGCAGGCGAAACTATTTTTGGCAAATGGCGAAAGACGAAACCAGGCGAAACTCTGGAGAAACGGCGAAACTCTGGCAAAATGGCGAAAATCTGGCGGAACCTGGTAAAGTTGAAACCCCTAGAGAAAGTCAAAGATCAAATCCTCTAAGACTTTGAAATGACTGAGCCATGTTAGTGAATCAAAATATTTTGCGCGTGGCTATTAAGCACAGCATGTGGCTTATATAAAAAAATGATAAGCAAAATTCGAATAATATTAAAAGAAAATTAGACTTCAGTTTTTTAAAACTTATAATTAAATCAACTCAGCCATGTAAAATAAATCTATTTAGTTTTATATTATTTCATCCAATCATGTTGCTTATCTTTGTGTAATATATAGGGTTGAGTCAATAGAAACCAAGCAAATATTTTTTAATAAGTTTTTTCAAAACTTTAAACAAGGATAACTTAACAAAAACTTAATCAAGTTTAGTAAAAAATTTTTAAATTAGTTCTGCAAATTTATAAAAACTATTTAAAACAAATTTTATTAAATTTGGTTAAGTTCTTGTTAAGTTATTCTTGTTTAAAGTTATAAAAAATTTTTATTATAAAAATTTGCTTGATTTCTATTGACTCACCTCATATATTAAAACTTGAACGTTTTTTATTTAAAAGTTGTTTGGACTTGCTGTCCCGTACTGTAGTAATATTCATGAATACAGTTTTTATTGTTATCGCTTACTTTTCTGTAGTTTAGCTTCCTGAAATAAAAATTTCAGATTTTATAATTCCAATAGTTTTTTTCTGACACATTTTGGATTCTGTTTATTTTACAATACTCACTTTTCTGACAATTTAGTTTACTGACAGTTTAATTTATCAATAGTTTAACTTACCAATAATTTATTTTATTGATGGTTATTTCACCAACAAAGTAATTCCGGTTATTGCTATTAGGTCAAGTTTAGAATTAATTAAATAATTGGGGTCTTTGCCTTGAAAATCACTATGACATTTTCCGATCAGGCTAATTCAGGCAAAACAGACCAAAATATCGGTTTGTATTTATATGTGAATCATTTTGACTTATTGATTCAATAGTTTATTCAGGTCAAATATGATTCACATATAAATACAACCCGATATTTTTATCTGTTTTGTCCGAATTAGCCTCCAGGGGAGACCGTCCCAAATCAGAAAATGATGATCTGATTGTTACACAATTGTTAAAGAAAATTTTTTATATATATTACAATACTTTTTTAGAAAGCCCAGGTAGATAATCTTTCTTGTAAAATGATTTAAGTTCACTAAGTAAACTTGAAGCTTTCGTGCCATACTATAATAATATCAGATGAATCCCTTTGAATCCTACAACCTTCATATTATAATTTACCTACCGAAATTATAAGTAATTAACAATCACTACGTTGACAAGATCTTATTTGTTAAGTAAAAAAAGCATAAAAAAAACTTAAAATAACGATTACTAACGATAATGTAGAAGAAAAAAATTAGGTTGTATAATTTTTTTATTAT